TATAATTTGACCAATTCATGTGAAATATTTCACGACATTTTAATAAATGATCTGAATCTATTGCAAAGTATTCACTCGGATCAAAAATATGACCGTGAAAGAAAATCATATTTTTTTTATATAAAAAATTTAATTTGATTAAAAATCATCATGTTCAAATTATTATTTTTTACAAATATTTTCATAGTTACCAATAATTAATAATAAATACATGTGTATGCATGTATACTATAAAATATATTTAACTAAATTGTAATTCTCATTTCATCCCATTTGTCCCGCTTTGTCTCAATGAAAATGAGGTCACGTTAGCAAATAACATAATTCACAGATAGGTATAAGCGTTCACATAATGATGATCCTAGCAAATGCTGTCGGGAAAGATTTGAAAATGAAGAAATTAATGCAATGGTTTCGTCTTTTCTAAAACTTTGTATTTGCTTGGTACAGTCTTTTACTAATGCATCGAAGCGTTTCTGTATAAGAAACGAAGTTGGCTACGTAGCAGGTGTTAGAGTTTCAGGTATCTATCTTTTGCAATACGGAAACTCGAAAAGTTTTCCAGAAATTGGTTTGACATTTTCTTCGCTTACTATCGCATTTTATGTACGAGTATATCAAATTTCTCAAAATAAAACTTGCTGGTGTCGGGTATTCGTCTGTCTTCATATTCGGTTATAAGAATATAATTTTGTAACACACAAGTTTAGACTATAATCAAATCGATGATGGAGAAGCAATTCATATTCTAATGAATCAGAGCAATATTTTCCTTACCCGTGGAAAATATATTCAATGAGTGATGTAAACATAATTACATTTCATAAATACTTCAGTTTATTATAATAATGGATAAAATTCTGTAATGTATTTTCAGCAATTGATTTTATTATTAGGTAGACAAAAAAAATATGTATCGAATATTTATCGGCTTATACATATACGAGAGTAGTCCAAAACATTAGGTTACGTTATGTTAAGTTAAATTAGGTTAGGTTAGGTTAGGTTATCAAATACTTATCTGCTTATACATATACAAGAGTAATCCAAATAATTAGTTTGCCTAGCTTTTCAGAAATAGGTATTGTATAAGAAATAAATCTACTTCTTATAATTTACTTTATTCCTTACACGAGGAGTGTTCAATAAAGATTCGGACAATTCTTTTTAAATTTTATTTTTGGAAATTGTTCAACAACGCTGGTATCTCGTTCAATATACTCCCCTCCGAGGCGAATGCGCTTTTCCCACAGTTCCTGCCACTTTTCATATACGTACTGGAAACCCTCTTCGGACAAGCGCTTCAAAATCGCTTGTACAGCTGCTAGGGCTGCTTCCGCGGAGTCAAATCTTCAACCTTTGATTTGGTTTTTCAACGTAGGGAACAGAAAAAAGTCACTGGGAGCCAGATCTGGACTATAGGGTGGGTGGCGTATCACCTCGACGTTCCGTTTCGCCAGGAAGTCGTGATGAAGTTTCCACCGACCTATAGTGAACGCTTCTTTCTTTGGATGGGAGGCAGTATAACTTGCTTCAGGACACTAATATAATATTCAGCATTGACTGTCTGCTTGTTTGAAACGACATGAGTGCACATCATACCGTATTGATCTAAGAAAGTGATGATCATTTCCTTGACAGCGCTTTTTTCAGTGTCGGACCGCCTTTTTGGGACCCACTGAGTCGACTCCTGCTTAGTTTCGGGATCGTACACATAAATCCAAGTCTGTGTTTGTTGACAAAATTGAATAGCGTACCGCTGAGCTCTCAAATTTTCCTCCATCACAGGTGTACAAGCTAAATTATTCTGCGATTTTTCAAATAACTGTCATACACGAACTATACATCGCACCATGACGAAAAATATACTACTGGAACCGGAATGATATGTACTTTCCAGCTGTACCGCATTTGGAGCGTTGGCAGTGCTGCCAACCGCGAAAACAAAATCGTCTATTGAACAACCCTCGTATTAATTTATTGGCATAATCATCATCATAAGGTCGTCACAATAGCTATATCTGATACCAGTATTTTTGTTTTACTTTTAATTATTTTCATACAGTACTTTTCTGTCAATACCGCATCCATTTTATTTAAATCTACCTCTAACTCCTCCTTGTTAGATGCTAATACTGTTATATCATCTGCAAATTTAAGGATACTAATGTTACTATACTACTATTCCTACAGTTGTACTGTCTTTAATGGTGTTGATCGCGTTTTCGATGTATAGATTAAAAAGTAGCGGTGACAGTGTGCATCCTTGCCTGACTCCCTTCCTAATATTTACTTCTCTACGTTGCATCTATAACTGCCTGTTGCTCTTTATACAAACTAAGTATCACCCTTCTATCTTTGTAACTCATCCCTACATTTTTGAGTGAACTTTACAATTTGTCCCATTTAACACTGTCAAAAGCTTTTTCTAAATCTACAATTCCTATGTACGCCCGCTTTCTTTTTTCTGTCGTTTTCTCTATTGTTACTCGTAAAGCTAGAATGGCCTCCCGCGTTCCTCTCTTTCTCCCTAATAGTTCTTCCGCCCTTTTTCCATCCTCCTCTGTACAATTCTGGTTAAGACTTTTGACGCATGGGAAGTTAAGCTAATTGTTCTAAATGACTCGCACCTCTCCCCGTCTCTCTTTTTAGGTATGGTTACGACCACGTTTCGTTTATAATCCTCTGGAACTTCCCCGTCTCGTAAATGTAACTAACCAGCTTAAACATACGATCTCTAATCTCTTGGCATGCTTTAGAATTTCCCCCTGTACCCCTCTACACCTGGCGCTTTATTATTCTTTAAGTTTTTTTAATGTTACATCGAACTCTTCTCTCATTATGGGATAACCTAACTCATCTATCTCCACACTATCTTCCTTATCTAACATATCTCCTAATCCAGGGCCTGCGTAAATGTTCTCTAGATATACTTTCCACCTATCTGCCTTTTCCTCATTTTCTATCAAAATTACTTCTGGCTTGCTTTTCATATTATTACTACTGTACCCTACATCTCCAAAATTCCTTTTAATTATATTATAAGACCCATCGGTTCTACCTACTTCAAAATTTTTTATTTTTTTCTACTTCTTTACACATCCTATCAACCCACTGTTCCTTAGCTGCCCTACACTTCCTAATTATTTCCCACTTTATAGCCTTATATCATTTTTCCCTTCTTCGCCTGTTCTGTTTGTGTATTTGCGCCTTTCTTCTATTAATCCTAAAATCTCATTTGTAATCCAGGGTTTCCTACTTTTGTTTTTTTAAGACCTAGTATATCTGCAGCCGCAGACTTGCATTCTGTCTCTATGTCCCTGTCATTCGTTTCTCCCGCCGCCTTTAGTATTTTATCTGTCCATACCTAGCCTATCCCACGTTTCGTTACATTTTAGCTTTTCTAAGTCAAAACGTATCCTAGCTTCCTTCTTTTTCAGAATTTTCAATTTAAAATTGGTCTTCATACCTACTAAGTTATGATCCTTGCCTAAGAAGTATGTAATCTAACTGAAATCTCCCTAAATCACTTGGCATCTTTCACGTATAGCGCCTCCTATCGTTTCTATTGCCTAATCCAAAAGAACCTGCTATTATACCCACTTTACCTTCCCCTATTACTGCGTTGAAGTCTCCTACAATTATTAGGTTATCCTGCTCTTTCATTGATGATTGTGGTATATGAAGAAGTTACCTTGAACGGAAGCAACGTTTATCTTTGGTACAAAATGTTAGGCCGAGAAGATGTGAACGACGAAAAACGTGCCGGACGCCTGAGCAACGTCAATCGTTGAATCACAGTTAGAGAAGTTGCTGAGGACTTAAATATATCCATTGTCTCCTGCCATTCGATTTTTACCAATTATTTGGCCATGAGGCGGGTCACCGCGCAATTCGTACCAAAGTTGCTGAGTTTCAACCAAAACCAGTATCGCATTAATATTGCTAAGGAACCGTTGAACTCTGTCGGCGACGACCCAAATTTGCTCCAGATGGTCATAATTGGTGACGAATTATGGGTTTATGGTTATGGCGAGAATACCAAAGCTCAATCATCCCAATGGAAGCTGCCGCACGCGCCAAGATTGAAAAAAGTGCGCTAAATTAGTTCGAATGTGAAAGTTTTGCTTACAGTTTTCTTTGTATTGCAGGGGCGTGGTGCATCATGAGTTTTTGCCATAGGATAGAACGGTCAATAAGGAATATTACCTGCAAGTTATGTACAATTTGTGCGAGGCATTCCGCCAGAAACGCGCGGATTTGTGGAAGAACAAAAATTTGCTTTTGCACCATGATAACGCTTGAATTTTTGACCGAAAACAACTCCTCAACCATCGTATTCCCCAGAGCTGGCCCCCTGTGACTTTTTATTGTTCCCGAAGCTGAAGAGGCCCATAAAAGAACGACGCTACGCTACGGTTGAGGAGATAAAGACGGCATCGAAGGAGGAGCTGAACAAGATCACAAAACATGATTTTTTGAAGTGCTTCGACGTTTTGAAAAAACATTGACACTGGTGTATAATATCTGGTTGGGATGACTTTAAAGGGGGCAAAATAGATATTCATGAATAAATAAATAATTTTTGAAAAACCACAAATGTGCTTAATCCATGTGTGGGGTTCTCTACCCGCACTGCGTGTCTTTCAGCCAATAATATCAACCTGCCTTGTTTTTTTTGCGTTTTAAGATGCTGAACTGGCAAAAGCCCCGGTTTGCCTTTAAACAGTGTAAAAATGACAATCGAAGAAAATCCACATGGACGTTTACCGTAGTCTGAGTGGACAACCAGATAAGGTAAGTGACACTGAACACTCGTCAAAAGTTTATTAGTCAGTTGGTTACGATTTAGTCTACACGTATCTTTAAGAGTACCTATTGCGTAAGTACGTACTTGGAAATTTCTGAAGTAATATCTTTATAAATTAATTAATATTGTTTATAGAATTGATGAGTATCTATTACTTCTCACGTAAACTTTATGTACTTATAATAATTACCTGCATTGAATAGGAAGTAATGCGCCTTCATCGGCAGTAATACTTTGTTGATGCTGAGATTAATCTTCATTTTGCTGTAAAATAAATGAGAAAACCTAAACAATACAGTAATGCATTCAATTGTGCAAATTCGAGGTTCGAGATTAAATAAGCACGTGATGAATCTAATCTCATAATTGCTTATGCGATAAAATTGACACACAAAATCGAATTTGTTAAAATCTTCAGTTTAGGTATATTATTAATTATCGGAAAATTTCAAAGAGACATATTTAGTACGCACTGTAAAAAAAATCCAATAAACACGTTATCAGAAGATTAGATTTACCTAATTATTTTTTAATTTTTTTTTAAATGTAGATAAATTTAGCTTTTTGTTTTCTAAGCGAAAAGGAAAAATAGAAGATTGAAGATTGATTACAGTTAAAATAGAAAATCTAATTTTTACTTTAACTATATCTAATACGTTTATCAAAGAGTTAATATTCTAAACAAGTTGGAATAAGTTTTAAGAATATTCCAAATTGTACAGAATATTAACTCTTTGATAAAATCTAAAAAATTAATTAGTGAAACATATAAAGCAAGTTTATCCATAATTCCTCTTTTAATTCTTTTCGTAGATCCATTAAATAAGTAAATAATAATGAAACTTCATATTGCATACAAAAGGTTTGTTTAACAATTTGACAAATTAAAATATTTAATGAGAATATATTTAAAGGGGCTTGCCGAGTAAGACGGTATCAAGTACCATCACCGCTTTCGAAAATGGATTGTAACCATGCTGCAAGGTTCCTGCCAAATTTTTAGATATCTAATTGACGAATCGCACGACCTCTCACGGTCATATTTCGTAATTCTCCGTTGTATGAACATATCTCAGCCGTCTGTGAAGATTTTTTAAAAAATAAAAACGAAATTAAAGGTAATAGCTGCAGGAATCTGTGAAAAGTTTTGTAATATTTTGGGCGCTAAATTCAAATTTTTACAATCGTTCGAAAATTAAATGGCTATAAAAAAGGCTTACTCAATCACAAAAACAAAATAAATGTTTTGTATCTTGACCCCATACATTGTCTTGGTATTTTCAGATTTTTAAAATGGGTGGAACGGAAAATTGAAAACGTATCTTTTGACGATTTTTTATTTTGTTTGGATCATAAATAGATAAAATTACACTAAACCATCAACATCGACGAAAGTAATGAACTTTATAATACGTGATATACACTTGCATCTACTATTTGATGACATATATCTAATATAATAAGATAATGCCCTGGGAAGTGTTTTTTTAGAAATGTTGTAATAAAGCAATAAATTTTAAATGCTACACTGTGAACCCGTGAGAGCCCAACCAAAAAGCAAAAAGGCTATAAATTTAAATAGATCTAAAAGTAATAAGAATATTGACAACAGATCCCTTAAAAAATCCAAAATCGACTAACTTTCAGCACTGCAGTACACGTAAATACAATAAATTAAGTAGATTACACTGAATATAGCCAAAATAATAATAATATATAAAACTTTTAAGAAAAATATTAAAAACAAAATAAAAAAAGTAAAAGAAAAACGTTTTTAATTTTTCGTTCTACGTTCCACCAATTTTAAAAATTTGGTAAAGATGAAGGCAATTTATAAGGTCAAAATGCAAAACATTTATACTTTCTGTGATTGGGTATGCCTTAATTCTTTTTTATAGCCATTTAAAATTTTTTAACGCTTATAAAAATTTTAATTTGGCGCCAAACATTTTGAACAAATTCTCAGATTCCTGCTTCGCGAATGAAGCCATTGTTGAGTCGTACAAATACACATTCGCGCGATCTTTAAGACGTTTCCGCCAATACTGTGTATATCTAAATGGTATATCTAATTTGCGGAAGGATAAGCGATATTTACATATCCGATCATAAAAGAAGCCGAAAAGTATAAATCAAATGCAATCAAAAGTCCTCTAGGCCAGAGTTGGGCAAACTTTAACTTCGTAGGAGCCACTACCTGTAGCTAGTTTGGGTCACTCCATATCCTTCAATGAGTAGGAGCGAGTAAGCAGTAATGACCCATATTGCATTCCCTTTTTCTTCTCCCTTCCACTCCCATATATAGCCCCTTCATCCCGTAGACAAGCAAAGCCTCTCTCGCAACTTAAGTAATATCTACAAACATTTTCTAATGATCGTCCCGCAGCTCATTCCAAACGGTTAAGGGTACTTTTTACCATCTTACCCGGCAAGGCCCTTTAATTGAATCTGCCTGGATCTGCTTAGATGGCGCCAAGAAACTGTTTAGATCCAATCATACATGTTTGGATCCAAACGGTTTTTACCGGGTGTTTCTTTTCTATTCATCGTAGCGTTAAAAAATGTTTCACCATGCGATTAGATTAAACACAATTTCGACTACTTATTCGTAGTAAACGAGTTATGTTTTTATAGAAAATAATAAATAATTATATTTTTAGAAGTAACTGTTGTATTCTTATCACATTACATATTACCAACTGATAGTTCTACCTTAATTATATTATTACCGACTGACGTTAGTATGAGTAAATATTTCTGAGTGAAAACTAAACATGCTTCTGTTTGAAACGGTTTGAAATTAAATAGAATTAAATTTCACCTTTTGTTGTTAGATTTGAAAGGTAATCGGGTGCATAATTGATAAGCCAATTTGATTAATAATAATGCTGTTAATGGATAATGTAGGTAGATCGCGTAAGGATTCATACTAGACTTGGGAATTGTAGTTCAATTCACCGACGTAGTTCAATAAATATTCTTCAATGAAGTGAAATAATACACTATTATAGTTCAGGAGTTCGTTTAGTTCAGCGCTCAGCGCAAAACTTCCAATAATACAGTAGAACTCATCTATTTTCAATACTATCTATTCTCAATTAATTTTACTCATGTATTTTCAAATTTTTCGTCCCCACTTCCCACTTCTCACGCAAAATATCTCTAACGTTGCTCAGCCAATGAAAAAATAGATGCGCAAAAACAAATGATACGTTTTATATTCAAAATTGGCGCGTAACTACATCGCAGAGATTTACGCAGTTCTTTTCTGATTGGTCTGTGACTGCCACAAAATGGGGTTGGATCAGACAAATACATGAGTCGATTCGGGACCACTCTACTAATAGGTTGAAAATACATGAATTCTACTGTACAAGATGTGAACTACTGAACTACAATTCTTTCAATTGCTGAACTTCACTCGGCTCAGTTGAAGTCAGCCGTTCTTGTGAACGACTCGTTCATGACTTACACAAGTCTAATTCATACTATAATTTTCCTAAAATTTACTTTTCAATATTGTAGAACTCTAAAAGTATTTCTCGTATTGTCACGCAGTGGAATTTTAAGAAAACTCAAAAACTATTTTAGACTTTAAAACATATTTCAAAATTAATGAAATATTTCATAGTTGTAAAGTTGCAATTCTTTCAAAATTCATAAAACAAATATCGAGTTTATTTACTTACAAAATAAGCGCATTGGCATTCTGCAGCAACGAAACAGTAAGAGAAAAGAATTTTTTCAAACAATTATCTATGTACAAGCAGAAATTAAAGCAAGTTCGATAGTTCTGGTTACTCTAAAAATTATAACTACACGAAGTCATCAAAAAAGACAAAGATAGTTTCTAACCTAGTTCATATCGGAAATTTCATCAGCTAAACCAAAGAAACTTCTAGAACCACTGAATGGCCCATGTTGAACTCATCATCATAAGGTCGTCAGTCCCAAGACTAGATGGACACGTACCTTCACTCTTTCCTATCCTGAACTTTGCATCTCCCTAAAACTAGAACAACCCACATCCTTAACTGTTTACGAACAGTAATCTAATCTAAGTCTACCTCTACCCTTTTAACTCCCGTTTCTGCCTCTAATAGTCTCTGAGTAGACCTTCATGCCTGAGAAGGTGTGCTACCAACCTATCTCGCCTATTTCTTATTGACTTTCATAGAGTCCTCTATTATCCTAATATTCCTAATACCTCCTTATTTCCAACCTTTTCGATCAACGTTATCCTCATCATTCACCTAAAACACTACATTTCGAACGCTTCTAATCTTTTTTTTTTCCGCCGCGCTCCCTGTCCATATTTCGCACCCGTAGAACGACGTGCTCTAAACTTACACATTTAACAGCCTTTTTCGAATTTCTAAATTCGCGAGCATAGAATTGACTTCTTTTTATTAAAGGCGACACGATCCTGCGCTATCCTGTGTTTTATATCCCTACTTCCTTCCGTCCTGACTTATCCGACTTCCTAGATATCTAAAATCAGCCACTTCTTTTAATTCTTTATCTCCTATTTTTATATTTGCTCTTTCCCTAATTTTTCTTCCCTTGCATACCAGTATTTTAGTTTTACATTTATTTATTTTCATACAGTACTGTTTTGTCAGTACCGCTTCCGTTTTATTTAAAGATATCTCTAAGTCCTCCTTGCTAGATGCTAACACTGCTATATCATCTGCAAATCAAATGTTGAACTATGTACAAATAATCACTGGGATCGATGATTTAAATGTGGGAACGCGTTAACGAAAAGATTCTACCCTTAACGAATAACCAGTAAGAAGTGTTGGTGGTACTACCTCCTAGTCAAGATGATTGTAACGCTCCTATCAACGTAAGTGTTTTGTTAACTTTTAAGGTGTATTGATCTGCATTGAGAGAAGAAGACGATCCTTTTTATACACGTTTTTGTTCAATTTTCATTTATAAAGTTATCTATCTGGATTACTTGACAACTCACTCTAAATCCAGTTGTATCTTTTTGAATTTCATATCTATTTTACTTTACTATATAATAAAATTGTTATTTTTATCCAATCTCGCCTTTCTTATCATTTTAATACCATAAGCGCAGTTACTACAAAATAATAAAAACACATTATAACCAAGTAATTACAATAAATAATTAAAAAAAACTAAAGTAACAATTTACCTCGTAACAGTATCACCGTTTAAATATTTATAATCTACATTTATGAAGTATCTACTACTTCAATTATATCCTATCGATCTTACGTAATAGAACTTCATACCATCTCAAACAGAATAATTACAGCTTTGACTAATAGAGCCTATGTAGTTAATTTTAAACATGGAACTTACATTCGGCACTTTAATCAAAATTTCGAAGAAGTTGGAACCAAAGCATAATAAAATATGAAATATAAAATTTTTTAAATACCAAACGAATATTCAGCATTTTTATTAAAAGGTATAAATTAATAAAGTCGAAATTCACTTTTCCATATAAAACATAAAATGTGGAATGATATACAAAATATATAAAAAATGATATACCCATTTATTTTTATAAGTTTTTAATGTTACATCCAATATGATTATTTAACGTGAACAAAAAGTAAATATGAATAATATTATCTACATTCCTTAGGTCAATTATATTTTTCTTATTCTACCGTAAAAGTGTACTCTATTGTTGTACACAACATCTACGGCAATAAGTTGATTTACATACATTCGTTTGTTTAAAACATAAGTAACAAAAAGTTAAATTACAATATTCCGTGATTTCTTTCGAACCTCGAAGATGCAATACGTTTATTTGTATGTATACTAAAAATATATTTGTTTTAAAAAGTAAAATACTCACCAGTTCACTTAATTATTACAGTTTTTATTAACAAAAATCACATTTTTTTACAACAGTTGTGAATAACAACCTGTTTGATTTAGATGTCACAGTAAACTGAACTTATCTCCGCGTCTACACGCATTATAATTATCACTAGTACCACATGTATTAGATCAGGTTTTATTTGATAAGAAATTTTTAAACACGTGCATGTACGAGGGTGGATTGATAAGTTTCCGGCCTGACCAAGAAAAACAAGGTTTTTAAAAAATTTTTTTTTTTATTTCTCAACATAATCTCCTCCAAGGCTGATACATTTCTCATAGCGGTGTTCCAGTCTATTAATGCCATCTCTATAGACTGATTCGTCAAGCTCCTCAAAATAACCATTTACAGCTTCGATTACTTCTTCATTGTCCGCAAATCTCTTACCGCCAAGCCATTTTTTGAGATTAGGGAACAGAAAATAGTCACTCGGGGCTAGGTCTGGAGAGTAAGGAGGGTGCGGCATCAATTCAAACTTTAGATCGTTGATTTTAGCCGTCGCAACGATTGACGTGTGCGCTGGTGCGTTATCGTGATGAAACAAGATTTTTTTCTTCGCCAGATGAGGTCGTTTAATTTTCACCTCGTGGCTCAAACGTTGCAATAAGTCTGCGTAGTATTGACCAGTGATAGTATTACCCTTTGCAAGGTAATCAATGTATATAATACCTCTTGCATCCCAAAAAACAGTAGCCATAACCTTGTTCGCCGAAAAAATTGTTTTTGCCTTCTTTGGAGTTGGTTCCCCTGGTCCAATCCACTGTTTAGACTGTTCTTTGGTTTCAGGAGTGTAGTGGTGGACCCACGTTTCGTCAACGGTTACGAATCGACGCAAAAATTCGCTTGGATTACGCTTATACAATGACAAATTTGCGGTAGAAATGTTTTTTCGAATCAATTTTTGGTCGACTGTTAGCAAACGCGGCACCCATCTTGCACAGAGCTTTTCCATATGCAAATGTTGGTGCAAAATATGTTGCACACGTTCATATGACATCTTACAGGTCTCAGCTATCTCACGCACTTTCAATCTGCGGTCTCCCAGCACTATTTGATGAATTTTTTCGATCATATCTGGAGTTGTGACCTCAACGGGGCGTCCTGAGCGAGGCCCATCAGAGGTGCTCACACGACCCTTTTTAAACTCGGAAACCCACTGCTTAACGGTTGAATATGACGGGGAGGATGTCCCCAGTGTTGAGTCCATCTCTTTTTTAATTTCCTTCGGCGTTAACCCCTTCAAATAAAAGTATTTGATGACAGCACGATTTTCCTGCTTTTCCATTTTTACGAAAACCACAGAGGCGTCTTGTTCAGCGTGCTGTCAAACCTACACTAGCAAGGAGATCGGGCTGAAACTATAGCTACAAGCTATCCAAGGATGGTACTATAGAATGTCACCTCAAGGTAGGCCTAGTGGCGTCATCTCTTGGTTAGGCCGGAAACTTATCAATCCACCCTCGTATATTTGTTACATTATCTAGTAATATGTTATAACGATTTTAGGAAGAAAGGTTGTAACGATTAACATTGTTGTTGCTGTTAATAGACTCTTACAATCAATAACATAATAACAAACGAATTGAAATGTAACAATTTCTCTAATTACACAACTTTGTACGCCATAGATAGTTAGAAACTTACTTTACGTCAAGGTAGAACTGGTTTCACTTTCTTTGTGCAGCTTAAGGATTTTCGACAGATATGAATGATACAGCCACGAAAGTCTTCACATACACACCACAAATAAACAAAATTGGCAAACTTACGATCACATAAAATAATATAACGAATATAAAATTTATTACAGACGTGGAAGTATCAACTTACTGATAATCGATATCGGTAGTAGTGGTTTAGCCGTAAAAATTGCTTTTTGAGACGCTCATGATATTAAGTACTATTGGTAGCTGTTACTACCCTTTTTTATTTATTTAAGGTTAGTTGTTTATTACTAATTGTGTGTTTTATTGCTTATTATAATAGTTTTCATAGGTTACAATGGAAAAGGCATTGTAAGATAGCGGATTTTGTCGTGTTTTGTGTAATTTTTATCGTTACTGTTTTTGACTTTAGTGATTGCGCATGCGGATGCCAGACATTCCTTCCTTCAGACACTAGCAAACTGGGTAGACGTGGCTACATCTCATTTTTGTTTTGAATCAGTATTGGCTCGGCCCTCGGCCAGGCCAGAGTGTAGAACTGTTTTTCATATGATTTATTGGAGTGATTATCTATGGTATTTGTGTGGTGCTCTTTTAATATATGGCGCATGGTAGAAAATATGCGATTGTGGAGCTCTTTCAAAACGTGTTCACATCAAGGTTAGAACGTGTAAGCATGGGGAATTACATGACGCAATATTGACATGATTACGATGAAGAAGAATTTATCTATGTTAAAGCTTAACTACGAGAATAGTAATTAAATGATCACATTTCTGGTGGACATGTACAGATTATCCCATTTTCGACACTTTTGTGGGGTATCGCCTTTATTTTTAAAGATAGAGGGTTGTGGTTTTTGCGAAAGGTGTTCCTTTTTTTGTGAAACTAAAGTCATCACAGTTTTGGTCTTGAGATACACGATGATATTAAAAAGTATCACCTCGTATCTCAGTTATCTTTAAACTCATCGAAGAAGTAAAAACGTATTCAGTCAGCTTCCTTCTAGCACCTTTCGTTTTTTAATGATGACGCAAACGTATGTTCTTTTAAATGGAACATCCTGTACTCTATTTGTTATATTTATTAGACATAATATGGATTTTCCAAAATATGTAATTATATAAAATTATTTCCAAAAGCAATTTTAAAACTTTATTTTGTGTTCAATTAAGGGGTAGCAGGCCATGGCTAAAATTTATTAATAACGAAATCTATGTAAGTAATTATTGTACTGGAGATGTAATACTTTTAAATTTATTGAAAAACCTTTTTTAATTCTCAGTTTAATTATTAATTATAGCGTTTTAACTGATAAAATTAATGAAGTTTACGCAAAACAGTAAATTACCTATCAGAAAAACAAAAGATTTATAGCAGAAAGAATCAAAGAGTTTCTGAGAGTTTTAAAAATTACGGCCATTTCCGTTATACTTCTAACATCGTTCAAAAGCATTACAGGCATTTGCCAATTTCGGAAAGTTAAGTCAGTTGACACACAAGGCTCTGCTACTCACTTGTATCGCTTTTTATGCATTTTATTTCGCATAAAACCCCATAAAGCAAAACAAAAATTTGAAAGATGAGGTGATAAAGGAGGCTATCTTACAGGTCCAGGTACCAATTCATGACGAAAGTTATAGTTTAAAAATATCATTAAGAGCGTCTTGTGTTTTTAGGCGGTTGCAAACAAACGGCATTATAAAGGGCCAATAGAATTTTTTCTTATCGGTTCTTTAATAACTTTCTTTCATCCTTCATAAATTCTGTAGATTATACGTCTTCTAAACCTGAAACACGAGACCCTAAACCCAAAGAGTCCTTGTTGTCCCCTCTCAAAAATTAGATGGTGATTTTCTACAGTCCAATTTCTTGTTTATGGCGATTGAAAATAGTCTCACCTGAAAAATTCTCCGACTAGACAACGAGTCTGCCAAAAGATTCATTAGTACCTACACGGATTTGTTGTAATTAGCATTCGGCGTTCGGCATCACAGAGGTGTAAATGTGGGGCTTTGTGGAACTTATGGGGTACATTTTGCTTTTTGTTTCAAACAAATTAATCATACCCTACTACTTACTAGTTGTACACAAAAGAAAATTTAAGAAAATCTTAAATACTTACATTGCTTTTGAGGATAATTGGATGTAATTATGGGTATATCTTTAGAAAACCCACATTATGCTTAATAAGTACAAAAACATATATGGAAGATGTTTCGTTTAAAAAAATAAGGACGACAGCATAGCTGAAAAAGTGAAGGGGCTAGAAAAAAGCTAGTTATATCATTAGAATTCTAAAAGAATATTTCTTAATTTTTCGATAAGTTTAAAGATCACTGAGATACGAAGAGGTGCCCCAAAGAGAATACTTTTTAATTTCATTCCGTATATCAAAAACCATAAGGGATATAAAAATTCTGCTGACGCCATCTTTTATTCCAGAAGATAGTAGCACGTGTTGCAAAAACAGCAACCCTCTATCTTTAAAATTAAATCGTTTGTGAATTACATTTTTTGTACATATACCTAAATTGCAGTTGCAACACATTATTGCCTACAAGCTGTTTTAGGCGTGAATGGTGTTGAAGAGAATATTCACACGCAGGTTAAAAATTGATTTGTTGGAGTAGAGGGAGGTAGAAGATTTAAAAGACTCCTGTAATTTGTTGCAAGGGATTGGGGGGTTACAGTTTATTTGGGCCACCTCGACAACGTAAATACGAGTCTCCGGGAGACCTGGGGCTTGAGAAAGTAAAAAGTAAGGAAAGCTACTTTTCTCATCTGTAAGGAGGCAGTAAGAGAGGAAGAAAGTTATGCCACCGTTCTTAGAAATTTCCAAGGAGGAATTGACATCAACTGTGTTGGTACCGGGGTCGTGAAGATTAGCAAACTTCCAAAAGAGCATAGTCTGCGGAACATCATCTCTGGAGACACGGATTAACCGGAGGTACGCACGTACGAGGTTAATTGTAAGGAAAACGCTTTTTTCACGCAGCGTCTCGGCAAAGTATGACGCACTAGGTAGCATTTTGGAATTGTGTGGGTTTTAAGCATGTGGTAGCCTTCACAGGGACGCCATTCGTCTCCTTTTCTAGGCATAAGCAAGTGATCTAGTATTAGTTAGCTTTAACCTTAACACATTGTCATGTACGATGTTCCACAGAGTCGGGTCCAGAATAGACCCCTACGGAACCTCTACATTTGTCTGCAGTACCTGGCCAGGAACGGTGATACTTCTACTTTCCAGAAACTCTGGATAACTTTTATTGTCTTGCCGGGGGCGTCTCTTTTTCCTTTAGGCCTCTAATGATCCATCTTCGATTGTTAAAGCAGTCTTGACGTCGAAAGCTATTAATGCGCGAAGTCGACGAAGTTCATACGAAACTTTTTTAATAGCTTCCCCCTACATTCATAGCAATAGTAAATCAGCCTCTTCTGAAGTCATACTCATAAAGATGACGGTTTATCTTCCTTTTCCAGGAAGTCTCTTGTTTAGCATCCTCTGAAGCAACATGCCTACAACGCTAATGAGGTCAATGGGATTGAAGCTCTTGCCCTCTTTCCTTAGGAATCAGTATCAGGATGACGTTCTTCCACTTCTCCAGCATAGTGCCTTCTTTGTAAAAGTGTTGGAAAGTTTTCTCTAACACTTCCGGGATCTCTTCCGCTGCGCATTTTTAGCATTTACGGTTATTCCGTCTGGTCTCGGCGCGTCTTTTAGTTTAAAGCGTTTTATCGCATCCTGAAGTTTCCTCATATTGGGCAGCAGATCCTCCTCAACGAGTTTATCCTTCCTCCAAAATGGTGGGTTTGCAGTAAGGAAAAAGGGAATTAGCTTCTCTCAAGGTCTTTGCAGTGGGCAGCAACGTAGATATTCCGATTTTCAACAATTTGAAAAGTTCAGTCTAGGTATCCTCCTCCAGCAGAACCCCAAGTATTCTCCACTGAATCTTCTTGGAATTTTGAGTCATGTTCCTAAGGATCTTCTGTTCTTTGCCAAGTTCCTGTCTTGGATTATGCACTTTCATTTCACCAGCTTTTTGCTTTAGCTCTCTGCATTTTCCTCCTAGTCTTGGATCCTTTGGTCCTTTTAGATGCAATTTCTTTGCTCTATAAACATTTATATGCTTGCTTCTCCTTTCTGATTTCAAACAACTAAAAACTATTTCTCCAAAATCGTGAGAGCCCATGAATCATCCTCTGTCATTTTCCAGCATAGCGTTTGCAAAGCCATCTTAAATTTCTTCACTCCTTTAGGGGTGTAAACAAAATCAGGGGAAGTAGATACAGTTGTTACTGGTTTTCCTTAACGCTCCTTATTTCGATGCATGTACGAGGGTGGATTGATAAGTTTCCGGCCTGACCAAGAAAAACAAGGTTTTTAAAAAAATTTTTTTTTTATTTCTCAACATAATCTCCTCCAAGGCTGATACATTTCTCATAGCGGTGTTCCAGTCTATTAATGCCATCTCTATAGACTGATTCGTCAAGCTCCTCAAAATAACCATTTACAGCTTCGATTACTTCTTCATTGTCCGCAAATCTCTTACCGCCAAGCCATTTTTTGAGATTAGGGAACAGAAAATAGTCACTCGGGGCTAGGTCTGGAGAGTAAGGAGGGTGCGGCATCAATTCAAACTTTAGATCGTTGATTTTAGCCGTCGCAACGATTGACGTGTGCGCTGGTGCGTTATCGTGATGAAACAAGATTTTTTTCTTCGCCAGATGAGGTCGTTTAATTTTCACCTCGTGGCTCAAACGTTGCAATAAGTCTGCGTAGTATTGACCAGTGATAGTATTACCCTTTGCAAGGTAATCAATGTATATAATACCTCTTGCATCCCAAAAAACAGTAGCCATAACCTTGTTCGCCGAAAAAATTGTTTTTGCCTTCTTTGGAGTTGGTTCCCCTGGTCCAATCCACTGTTTAGACTGTTCTTTGGTTTCAGGAGTGTAGTGGTGGACCCACGTTTCGTCAACGGTTACGAATCGACGCAAAAATTCGCTTGGATTACGCTTATACAATGACAAATTTGCGGTAGAAATGTTTTTTCGAATCAATTTTTGGTCGACTGTTAGCAAACGCGGCACCCATCTTGCACAGAGCTTTTCCATATGCAAATG